CGTTGTCAAGCCATGAAGCCGTTGTACTGGGCTCCATCAAGTTCTAGTTCCCTCACTGATATATCGATGTCAAAAAATCATCCCTAACCTCTCCGTCATCGCCGCCATTCCGACCCAGAAGATGGGGAATTGCAGATCTGATTTCCTTCCTTGTACACATCCTTGTATTGAAGTTTTCTTGCTTCGTGGCCGGCGCCCATCAGACGCGGCGGAGTGAAGATTCAATAGCGATCTTACCAACCCTAAATTGCTCTTCTGCAAGTTACCACCCAGGCTCCCCACCGCCCCAGGCTCCCCGCCGCCCATCGCAACCTCTTTGAATAATTGTCCTTTCTTCATATCTGCAATGTACTGCATGGACGACGGAGTTCCTCCCTATTCTGAAAAATTTCCAACATCACGTCCTTGCGGCAACGGTTCGACCTTTATGTTGAACTCGTTCACCGCTGGGCGTGTCATTCACCCGCACCAACATGTTGGACCTGCCCGACATGTCCAAGGAGTATTTAGCAATGGCCACCCGCCAATTGCAAATGACATCACTTGCAGTCGTCGTCTACCTCCACTCTCCAACTCATGCGGTGTACGTGCTAGGGATGAATCGCAGTATTTCCTACCCGGCCTCACGCCAATGTCTCGGCACTCCCCGTTGCACCAGGAGGATGCCAGCATGGACTCCCAAATAAGCCCATACAGCCATCATGTGTCTTCGTCTCCGTTAACATTCCCGACCCGTCAAGTCGTAGGTTTTCTCCTTCCTTTCTACTCAGCCCATCCTCACTGGCTACCAGGAACCCAGTATCAAGTATGGTGGCAATGATACATCTACACATATTATCAACGGGGTGTACGGGACGGATTGGAGCTACGACACTGTTGCCAGATACCAAGCCATCCAGTCGGGGGGCCACAACGACAATGCGAGAGCTGGTGGCACAGCCTTCGCCCTTCGTCGAGAGCACAACTACCCGGATCACATACCGTCTGCAGGCGGAGTAGAGGACAGTTACTCGCGCTATATAGAGTGGCCATATCATCCTACTGGCGAGTGTCTACTTCACAAGGCTGTGTGCTCGAGTACAAGCGGCGATGGAGAAGCGGGTAGTCTCTCTCCCGTGCCCTACCCGGCCAACATGCCTCAGGTACCAGGTTCGCCCAATATCTGTCATCCTACCATACATCTCCCACCTCCTGTCCCTGTGCACACACAACTAGCATCGAAGACGGCTGCTCACAGCCCAGCACGGTTGCCACATCCACGAGATGGCCCTTTACTGACACCATCCGTGGCCGTGGCCGGCCAGATTAACCCTGTCGACTCACTCGAAGTGCTGCGTGCAGATGTTGGTCTCACCCCGGATCAGCCGCTTAGCCTACTTTCTCTCCCTGACCGCACCGACGATTGTAAGCCGGAGTACAGCTACCATATCCTCATCAAATTGGCAATTCTCGGAAGTCTGCGGCAGCGTCTTAGCCTTCAGGAGATTTATAAAGCGCTGAGGGAGCGGTTTAAATGGTACAAAGAACACAAGGATGACAAGATGTGGCAGGTACGTAGCCGTGGTCCTGCCCTGGGACGTGTTCTAATCTATAGGTGCAGGGCTCGATTCGTCACCAGTTGTCGTTAAGAGACTGTTTTGTGGCTGTCCGGAAGCCTCTGCGCGATCCTGGACACGGCTTTGAGTGGATCGTCGACTACTCCCGGGGAGATGGAATTAGGAGGGGCAGGAAAAGAAAGTCCCGCGGCGAAGATCCTTATCCTCCTCCCTTGGTCGCCGGCTCATGCCCTATCCAGAATCATGTCTCGTCAATTCAAATCCAGGATCTCCAGACTGACCCGACCTTGAGAAACACTCACGGGAATAAGCGTCGACGTCTCTGACTGGCCTAGCCGGTTGGTACGGCGCTTTGCCTATAAGAGCGAGACGTAAGGTCGCACCTCCAGGTTGCAGAATCACTCGACACATTGTGTGGCATTGTCGTAACGTTCCCGTCTCCCCCTCTCGCAATATCCTTTCAATCGCTCTGCTACTACGTTTCCTCAGTCGTTCATTCTCAATTCAAGATTATGGTATCGATTGAACATTTCAATTCGTCGGAGTGAACACATTGTCTCTGGCCATCCTGATTCCTTTCCAGCCACAGTGGCCCATATGCAGAAATTGAATTTACTCACAAGTCACCATCGTGTAGTATTTCACCATCCACATGCCTCCTCACCAGATTGCTTTCAAAGTTGTATCTCCATTTCCATTTCCTCCTGAAGTCATATCACTTTCCAGTCGCTCTCCAAGTTTTTATTGCTTTCCAGTTGCGTTCCTAGTCCTCTACTTTCCAATCGCGCTTCGAGTACCCAGTACCCATATGCATTTGCATTCACGATAGCCGACTGCAACTCGAAGGTGCCACCGAAACGTTAACTTGGCACCACTACGAGTGGGGCCACGAAAGTATTGCACGGAGGTGCACATTGGGGACTTCTACCGACGCAGACAACGACGACAATCAAAGTCATGCTGCATCGCGTCATGCTCGACCTTCCGAAGCGCTCACCTCTCCGCATTGCAAAGGGAGTTAGAGTGCTCCAAGAAAGTGACTCCACAACATTTACTGAGGGCCTCGCGATGGTTTTCGCAGAGTTATTTGGGAGAACGATGCGAACACAGGCAGACTTGGCTTAGTACTACCACGCACCTCTCACGTGTCATTAAAGGCAAGTTTGACTACGTTTGAAGGCTTACACGGCATACTCAGGCTAGGAAGGCATAGGCTTTGAATTGAAGCTTCAAGTGCCCCTCCTCTGTTTGTTGGAGAACAGACAGTGTAAGTTGGCTGGCTTCACTTAATACTTGCAAGTTACTCTACTAATCGTGGCCATGCACTTTGTCAGATTTGCGCAGACGACATGGTCGACAGCCTTCGCCACTATGCAGGTCACCCGTCTGGGCAGAGATGGGCCCGTCATAGATGTGGTGCGATATCAATGAAGCTAGGGGTTCCGCGTGCTAAGGTGACATGCTCGTTCCTTTGTCCCTCTTCCAGAAGACTCTTGACAGACGCCACTTCTTGGGCCTCTTTATCCGGTATTTGCCTAATCCACTAGCTAACTGAATTGGCTTATTTCGCGAACGTTCAGGGCATCATTGTTGTGCTCGCCTTTGTTGTCAAGACTCGCACACGGCGTGCTGCTCGTGCCTCTCAGACCAGTTCGTTAGGCTTTCTTCTACGGCATTGTGCGAACAATGTTGCATTTCACGCAGTCTCGTCAGATTTATGATACGCCGAGTACACCGTTCATCAGGGCCTCTTATATTGAGACCTACTTCATCTCAGAGTCATATGACTGGGAAGCTAAACACGGCTCAATTGACGGGTGGCTGGCGAGCCTTCAATCTTCACCACGGGCAACGTGGCCATCTTAAGTGCGTTCTTATCGAGCGATTGTCGGTTATTGGCTACCTCTGACCCCAGCAGCTCGGCGTGACATCGCTCGCGCAAGACGTGTGCCTCTTGTTGTTTAGGGCTGTCAAGTCCAAATGGCGAAGTTATGTCTGAGATTTTGTTTGTGACTTTCCTGATCGTGAGTTTAGCCAGATGCTGCGTATATCTCCCTGCAGCTGCGGTCCGGGAACGCTTCGATCATTGCTGTGTTGCCTTGCGCCGCCTTGCCATGAGAATGGAAGCCGCCGCCGTTCGCTCTTCACTTGGTTTGTGCTTCATCTTAGCAGAGCTCTTCATTGATGACGCAGTATCATCCGCACTGTTACTGCGATCACAATCTCCAGGATCACCTTCGCCGCGGGCTGAGAGATCGGATAAGAATTAAAAAAATCAACGTATGCGGTTTGACCAGCGCAACAGCGACGGCATGATCATGTCCCCAACGTGTGTCTTCGACGAAGGTTGCTGAACGAGGCCGCCGAGATCACAGAGAACCGTGCAGCGTGTGAGAGCTGACAACACAGCGCAACAATGCAAGACTTGTCTCGAGAAATCCTCTCTCGAGCGTCCCGACGATGCCATTCCCCTTGCTCGCGCGAGTCAGCGCGATGAATGTTTTCATACGTTGAGATAGAGGTGAATAAGTCGGAGTGGCGATGCAGTGAGTGCAAGTATTGACTTGTGAGCAGGAGCTGAAACATCACATGAAGGGAGGTCTTCACTAGCCTGACCGTCTGCGCCACTGTCGCGATGCTAGCGCTAGAACAATTTCATTTTCTGAAACGAGTCCTTGAAACGCTGCGCCGCAACGCGGTGCACGTCACTGAGGCCCAGTGCGGAGCTGCGATGCGCGAGGGTAGACCTAATGCCCTTGAGCCTGCGGAGCAGGATTCGTGCCTTCGCCGTTTGTCACAGCGTCCTTTCAGACTGCCCGGAGCCACGCACGGAGCCGTACCATTTGGAGTTCAAGGCCAAATCGCCTGATGAGGCCGCTCTTGTCGCCGCCGCCCGTGATGTCGGATTCCCATTCGTCCAGAAGTCTAGAGATGGCATCAACATTGAAGCTAGTGTGCTCCATGATTTATTCGCACCTATGTCACGAAAGCGAGGGAAGGATCTTGGAATTGGAGAAGAGGAGGGGCGCGGTATGTCGGCCGTCTCAGCCGTGAGGTTGAGGACAGCGGGTCAGTGGACAAGATCGCACTAGGTAACGTATGGCTCATTTCTAATAGCCATGTGATCGCTGGCCGTGCGCAGGGTGTTTTGAGCACTACGCCAACTTGCACCAGCGCGATGGCAACTTTTCGTGGTACCTCAGGGGGAACGAGTGACTTTGGACTTTCGACATCATGTCGGGCGAAATGTGGTCAGAGCGGGAATATGCCCTTCTGCAGTATCTCCCATATACTCTCGCCCTTTTTAACCGCTGTTCCAGGAGCGTGGCGGCCCGAGGGTAGACGGGCCCGAAAGCAGATTGGGAGGTGTGTCGCTAGATTCTCTTTGTGTAGTTGGTGCAGCCAGTGAATAGTGGCGCCTCACAGAATTACGTCCAGACCAAGATGAATGAAGAAATCGACAAATCAGCTGCTGGTTTCCGACACTGTGACGGCTTCAGGCATCTCGCGAGCGATCAATTTTTGCAACTCGAACTGGCACCATTACTCAACAGGATCATCTCACCTCCTCTGCGCCCAGTAAGTCGATTCTGCCCAGGATTCTCTTCATGTCGCTGACAAAGATATCCAGGTCAACGGTCAGGTCATCCGCCCACACGAGTGGGCGATACTGAGCCGGCTGATTGATATCATGGTAGCTCTGGAGCTTCGCTTCATGCAAGAGAACGCAGAAGACCGCCAGCTCGTCTACAGACTGGACCCGTGAGTCATCTTCCGCAATTTCTCGCATGGAGCCATGACAGACTGCTATTCGCAGCCCGATAGACGTGTTCGTGTTCGTCACCTATGACGGCGAACGAGCTACTGACATCTCCGTCTTGCATTATGCTTTCAGACACTTGGTTGTGGCAGAGGTGCGTCGGTGCGATATGCCGCAGTGCACCTTTACTGATGGAGTTTCTGTAGATTGATGCACAGCTCGCCTCGCGACAACTGGACATAATCGAGAATAAACCGAGTAAAGCAGATTTATTCAGCAGATGAAAGTACGTTACGATCGTATGTTGCGCGTATTGGTGATCACCGAGTTACATTATTTCCTCAGGCCGAAGGCGTCTGAGAAGAGGTCGAAGCAGAGGGCGACGGCCAATTAGTAGGCCGAGAATATGGGTCTAACTTTGTCGCGAACAAGCGAGCAAGGAAGAATGACGCAGAACCTGCAGAGAAGGCGAGTTGTCGGTATATTGCTGGCCCGTCCGTATATTGACGGTCACATCGTAAGTCACAACTGACTTCTTCGGATGACCTATTATACCGAAGACTAGCAACGAGTCTCAGAACTCAAGTACTCCCGTAGCGAAATACCAAGTCAAGTATTTATCTACGTCAATCCTCTGATCTCCCTGGACGAAAGTCGATGCAGCGTTGGTGGACTAGGCTATCGCAAACGGTGGTGTGGAGGTCATTGAAACCCTGCCATCTGGTATGTGTTCTTCTCGAAATACGTCGCGCTCTCCTAAGAGGCTGTAGGTCTCTTTCCATCTGTGGATGCTCTGCGCTCACATTGCTCAGGCTGTTGGTCCGGAGCTGTCCCTCGGCACGCGGCTTCTCACCACGGACGTGTTCAATATGGCCGAGGGCTGTGCAAACCTGAGCAGCGTTGTGAACGACGTCCTTTCTTTCGCGAGCCCGTACGTTATGGCCGAGGGCTGTGCAAACCTGAGCAGCGTTGTGAACGACGTCCTTTCTTTCGCGAGCCCGTACGTCGTCGTCCATACCGAGTGCACGACAAGCGTCACCCCGGGGTGGCGGAATTCGCTCTGGCATGTAAGCGCTCTGCCGTCTGTTTGTATGCTCGTAAGTATGCTCACGTTCCTGCAGCTGTTGATCAAGGCCTTGTTCGGCTTCAATAGCACTCTCAGGTAGTGGACGGAGATGTATGTAACCGTGAGCGAGTATATCAACACCTTCCGCGCGATCACACCGGATAGCGGCGCGTATTTCGTGAGTGCGCCCACCTCCACCCATGGCTGGCCTTGACGCCGCCACCGGGCTCCTGCAGAACGAGGGCGGTGTGTACGAGCCCAATCATACATACTCGTACTGGGGCGACAGTTACCTGCGCCTGCTCTCTATCACGCAGCAATAGTAGGCGTCCGACACCCGCCTTCATGTGTCATGCTAACTATGCTGACTGTGTCACAGTGACCCCCAGGGCCTTCTCTATTGTTGGCAATAAGGTACGTGCCTACCTGTTGTGATTGTGGTGAGGGTTTGCGGGACCTGATGCGATGCATGTTATGGAATGGTGAGATGGACTCTCTCTACCAGTGCTACCAAGCTGAAGGATGCCATTACCAGCCAGGTTGCCACTGGGGATTACTCAGGGCTAATAACCTGGTGTACACTCTATATACTACATTGCAGTGTTAGTCATTTTGATGTACTATTCTATTAGTACGTATCACTCTAGTATACTACTTAGCACTACATGCCACTATAATATACTGTAATGGACTGCACATTGCTCCAGTATACTAATTAGCATGATACACTTCTATATTACACTACATAGTACAACTCATCACTGTGTTGTACTCCATAGTGCAAACATTACTGCATTGAACTGTACAGTACTATGTCTCACCACATTATGCTATATGTTACTATATATCACTATAATGCATTGAAATCTCATTGCGTTAAAATCTCATTAACTTTAATTTTAAACTGTGTTTATTCTTACTTTTTCAAATTACTTTCAAATAAACCTGCAGTAAACCAACTTGATCTGTGTTAATTATACACAAGATGTTTGAAATTATATCGTAAAATTGTTTAAAATAGATTTTAAGTATATTTTAACTAAATTTTGCATAATGCTCCAGTTTATATATATATATTTTTCTTAGATCATTGTATACAAACTATAATGATTAGTTTTAATAACTTTATTGTATATGAAGAAGACTTGACATCATACATCTGACAGATATTATAAAGACAGAATCCAGTAATGTTTGACTTTATAACATGGTTTATATGAAACTCATTTATAATAAGTGTAGACTAATCAGTGTCAGATATTAGAGAACTTTGAGAAATCTACTTGAAACAATATTTGAATGAAATTTTAGATCTGTCTATAATAATTTCAGTATAATAAGCCATCATTCATGATAAAGTTATTTTTAACATGTTTGAAATAAGTGACACTGCTTACACAAATCAAGCTCACTCTATTCTAAGAATAGTATTACAATAATTGAACCAGTTTACAAGAAAATGTGACCAGTATATTTGAGTAAATATGAAGTAATCAGTGTCAGACATCGGAGCACTTTTCAAAATCTATTTGAGACAGTATTTGAAAGATATTTTGGATATGCTCTCCAATAATCTCAGTATAATAAGCCACCACTTATTATAAAGTTGTTTTTAATATGTTTCAAATATGTGATACTACTTACACAAATCAAATTCACTCTATTTTAAGGATAACCTTACAATAATTGGACCAGATTACAGGAAAATGCACCCAGTGCCGGGTTTTGGCATGTCCTGGCATGTCCAGTTGCCTGATATGGTAGGCAACTTATTTCCAAGGGAAAAACCGTGAGAATGTTTTGTTCTTTTCTCACTTTTTTCTTGAGGTTTTTCCTCTGAAAATATATTATTGATTTCCATGCTTTTTGCCAGGTTATTTCCAATGGATAAAAGTGGTAATGCTTCCTGTGATCTACGCTGAGCTTCCGAGCCTTCCCCATCAGGAAAATCCCATTTTTACTTTGGCTCGCTTTGTTCCCTTTTTGGACTTATCCAAGGAAACAAACCCGATAAGTACCGAGGTACAAGCTCCAAAAGGAGCAATCAAGCCGGAATAAGTGGTAAAAAGGGGCAAAATCAAATTGGGATTTTCCTGATGGGATATCAGTCGAAGCTCGCGGACTCTCCCCGCGCCACAGCCTCATCCGCGTACGTATAGCTGAGATTGAGCTACCCCGGTCTTTGGCAGCAGGGTGGGCAAAAACCTTGTCCTCTACTGTTAAACAGAGAGACTTTAGCTGCGCCAGTTTCACAGCATTCATTCTGCGACTGCAATTTCGCCGCGCTAGCGCTTAGCGCTGGAGTTTCGCCCACGACACTACAGTATGTAACGTGCCATTTGGAGCGCGAGGCCTGAACGCGGTTCCACACTTTCCTTCGAATCCAAGCCAAGTGACCGTCAGCTTTGAGTCTTGCCGTAATGATAGCTATGATCTTTGTGCAGCCTGATTCACGGTGACGGTCACTCGAGTTTACACGCTATATCCATCAATTAACTGCCCTCCATCCCTGGAGATAAGTCCATACCTGTAGCATGGCATGGCAACAACCAGGTTCGCCCCAGATTGCCGCCTGGGTATTGTGTCACACTGTATGGCTAGTCTGCAGGTATGTCCACATTTATTTCCGAACATATGTACCTCTCATAAGTCACTCTGTTGTAAGTTAGCATATCCGTCTGATCTGTCCTGCGACCAAGTGCCGCTTATCGCCCATTTCCCATAGCTGTCATTTTGGGCTCGATAATGGCCTGAATCGCATCCTCCGTTCCAAGCCCATCACAAACCATGACGCCACAGTTGGTGGCTCTATATCCATAAGGGAACCTTTAGTGTTGTCTGCTCCCCAGCCACCGTACGACTACGGTTGATATGCATTGCTGAAGTCTACTTTGGCGACACGGGATAAGGTGGCTGCAGCTGAGGGCTACGGAGAAATACTGTAAATTACCCGGCTTCCAGGTAATATACAGAGAAGCAAACGCTAGAAGCAAACGCTAGCCCAGCGCCCTTTCTCTAGCATTTCAAAGTACTTACGGTATCGCGGGCTGCGCTATCCAAGGCAACGTAGCATCACCGCGTCCTTTTCACCATCTCAATTGTGAACTTTAGGTGATTGATTCGCGCTTATCGATGCACAGGACTACATAAGGCCGACTGAAACGACTTTCCCCTCATATCGAGCCATGGTCTCTGCCATGATCTATGCGGTCTGTGCTTGTGCAGTAGTAGCGCTGATTTTTTTAAAGGGCGGGCGGAGACGAGCTTCGCCTCTCCCACCTGGCCCTGCAGCGCATCCCATTATAGGACATCTTCTCAAGTTTGATCCCGCCCACCAGTATGAGTTATTCCGGAGATGGGCGAATGACTACGGTGAGCTGCGTCATCTATATGCGCGTTGCCATGTGTAGGTGATACTAAATTCAATCTCGCTGTAGGAGATCTATTTCATCTCCGGATTCTGGGACAAACCATGATTATCGTGAATTCCTTGAATGTTGCTACTGAACTCATGGAGAAGCGAAGCTCCAACTACAGTGATCGGCCTGATTGCACAACCATTGAAATGTGAGTGTGTTCGGCCTATACATAGTTATGGTATTCAAAGTGTGTGTAAGGATGGGTTACGAAATGAACCTCGTGCTACTGCGATACGGCCCGAAATGGAGGAAGCTCAGGAGGATGTTCCAAGAGTACCTGAACAGTAGAATGTCTCCTGTGTATCAAGCAACTCAACTCAGAGAAGCGCACGTCGTGCTCAACAAATTGCTGGTGGCACCCACCGAGATTCGTTCCGCAACTCACAGGTTAGTCACGTCCCTGCGGCTGCATTTTCCAGCAAATGAACATTTCAACTGTAGGTTTGCCTTAGCCACCGCCTTGGAGGTTGCTTATGGAATTCGCATATTATCTGATGATGACGTCAACATCGAGCTCGCTGAGGCTGCCATTGGCGGTGTGGAAGAAGCTACGGCAGGAGTCTCGCTGATAGACATGTTTCCCTTCCGTATGTCCTACATATGCCTATTAATGAAACAAATCTGACCTTTATGCAAGTGAAAGATGTGCCGCATTGGTTGCCGGGATGCTCATTTTTAACCACCGTACCTCGTTACTGGCGTCCAGCGACTCGAAGGATGATCGAAGTGCCGTTCAATAACGTGCGGAGACAAATGGTCAGCTTCCGCTGTCCTCTGGATGGACATGCTCATACTCATATGGTTTTACAGGCTGCTGGGGTTGCGCCGCCATCGTTCGCGGCTTCCCTCTTGGAACGTCTCGATGTCAACAATGTCGGCGTGGAAGACCTCAAAGATATTGAAGGTGCTGCTTCAACTGTCCATTCAGGCAAGTTCTCGCATTTTTTCTCGTGGTAATTGTTAATACTATAACGAATTGATGTAGCCGGGACTGAGACGGTTAGACTTGAGGGTTTGCGCATCGTTACGAGACTGATTACTCTCCAGACATGGTCATCTTTGCAACTTTTCTTCCTTGCGATGATGTTATTCCCAGAGGCGCAACGTAAGGCTCAAGAAGAGATCGCCAGAGTTGTTGGTGTCAATCGACTCCCGGACTTCAGTGACCGTGAAGCGTTGCCCTATCTGGAGTGTGTACTGCAGGAGACGAGCAGGTGTGTTATACCTGAATTCCTGTGTCGGACTTGTGTTGAGACGATGGGCTCCTCAGATGGCATCCAGCCGTACCTTTGGGTTAGCTAGATCCGAGCTCTAACACTCTCAGCTTCTAAAGATGTTATTGCTAGGTATACCTCATCGAAGTCTCCACGACGACGTCTACAACGGGATGTTCATCCCAAAGGGTTCGTTCATCATTCCCCACGTTACGTGAGTGTCTATGCTTAGAGTCTTCTTTCCGTTCTCTTCTGATGACATCCTAGTGCAATGAGTCGGGATGCGAAGGTATACAAGAACGCCGATGACTTCTATCCGGAGCGATTCCTTCCTGCGCCCGCCGGCTACGGCGAGCCACACCTGAGCGCCGCCTTTGGGTTTGGCAGGCGGTGGGTTGCTAACACTCTTCGTGCCTCAGTGGAATAGCACGCTTGATACCTGTCTGTAGGATCTGCCCTGGCAGACACCTTGCCGGCAACAGCACATGGATCGTAGCAGCGACAGTGCTCGCCGCCTTCACTATCAACAAACCAATCGGGAAAGACGGCCAGGTGATCGAACAGAAGATAGAGTTCCTGACGGGAGGACAGACAAGGTGTGTCGCGGTGTAGCTGCGTCGGTGCCACTCGAATCTGATCGTCTGCTTCAGCCCTCCGAAGCCTTTTGAATGCGTCGTTCGGTCGCGGTCAGATAAGATGGTGGAGGTGATCATGCAGTTGTCTGATTGACTTGGAGCATGACGAAGATAAGCAAAAGGCCTGTGCAGTATTTGAGCGGTTCAACCTTTCGAGTGCATGCTTCCGTTGACTACCAAGCCCCAACGGTGGGGGGCAGTTTGTTTGTATTGTATACGTAGCACAAGAATCACTGACGCGGCATATAGAACTTCTGTCGCCTTTTAGCGATATTTGTGATGTGACGCGCTGGCATTTTACAAGATCGGGTTAGAACTATGTCAGTGTCGTTTTGCATGTAACCGGTAGTCACAGTGGTCCCTCTGTCACCATCACTATATAATGCAAAAGCTCACCATCACCAGTTCAAACCCGATTTAGTGAAATCGGAATGTTGACCAGCATGAATCACGTCAGTCTGGACATCGACATTCTCTTCATGATCATCTCTCTGCTTTCGACAAAAGATGCCCTTGCTCTTTCCCTCACAAGTCGAGAAGTTCATTTGTTTGCGAAACAGCACGCACTCTCGTCAGTCAAGTTGACGTCTCCAAAGCAACTTAGCAAGTTCTGCGACTCGATGCTCGGTGGGGCTCCAAGTTGCTGGAATTGGTTGCGGAAGCTTGATGTTGCCATGTTAGCATTTGGCGTGAACGACGAAATCAGAATTGCCACCCGTGGCCTCTTTTCGGATGTTCCTCGTCTCGCGGAGTTAATCATGCATGCATCCCACCTTGAGTTCTTTTCTATCCACTGTGTTGAATGGCTACTACTGCATGGATCCCCCATTGGAGACGCTATTGCTTCGCTTCCCAACCTCGAGGAGTTGGAGCTGCATCAGGCAGATTCTCAAGCCCTGGATATGGTGAGAATGCTGCAAAGCGGGCTCCGTAAACTCGTCCTATACCACAGTGAATATGATCAATTCACTCCGCCTCAAATCCTTCCGTTCATCCTCCCTTTTCGAAACCTGCAAGTCCTGCGATTATCCGAATCTTGCCGATTTGAAGAGTTTGACATTCCATGGGATGAGCAATGGCAATGGCCAGCCGTCCGCGATCTTCAGTTGATCCAGAGTCAACTGTCGATGGCCCAATTCGTACGTGCTTTCCCCTGTGTCCGGAAACTCAGCCTCTGGGGAGTAGGTTACAACGAGGAGCCGGAGACGCAGTGCTGGGACAGCTTGGATTACGTCTACATCGGATGTGGTTTGCAGAGCAATGAGTGGAGGATATCCTGTCCTGTTCATTCGTTGGAATTCGAAAGATACTCCCTGAAGCAGATTCGCATGGTCAGCACCGTGCGAGATACCACACCCTGCATATTGTCAGTGACAATCAGATGGTCCTTGGACTCTAAGTTTTGGAATTCATTGATGACAGCTGGTGCCGCAAGACTCAGATATCTCGATCTCACTCTCGACTTGACGCGTCGAAAGCGTGGAACGCATCTCGCACAGTGGCTGGTGAGATTCTCTCACTCTGGAGAACATCTACATGATTTGACACCAACACTGAAACAGGAAAAGATACCTCCGATACTGAACAAGCTCGCCATAATTTGTATTCGAGTGTGCATCGCTTCCCGGAACAACAAGCCAGTCCTCTCCAGAGCTGCCATCACTGTTCGTTGGCGCTTGCGCCTTGCTACTTGTATCCACTCCCTGCGCTACATCGCTATCGCCCGCAAGATCGGTGGTGTGCCGTGCATGGCGGAGGAATCGTCGTGGTCGCGTGTCTCAGGGCCCGCGCAGGAGCGTCGTCTCCAGGCACTCCCAACGCATGTGGGCGTGCGCGTCCATGCGTACTTACACGCCGGTGACATGGACTCGCTTGATAGGGTACGTGGTGTGGTTTGTCCGTTGATACCAGCACACTCACGTTCGTTATTCCTATTGCAGAAACACTTCCCTTACCCTCGGAGACAGTATGCGTCAACGAGGAGTGAAATGTAAATTGACACATTTGACACAGGCGGCAACGTGTCGACGCCGACTCGATGCAGTCGTATCGAGTCGGTAATTAGCCCAGTTCGCTGGCTCCTTTGAGTGTTGCCTACACAGATGGAGGTAGACGCCGTGGGCTGCATTAGGTAATGTCGGTTCATGGTGTCATGCATCCGGACTGACTTACCTGGATAGCAGCTGTGTCCCCATCCGTCCCATCTGAATGGAACCCGATGTGCGGCACCAAGGCCTCGTCGCGTGGCTCCGCCTGCGGTCGAAAATTGGGATTTCGACCCGAGAACGGCCTGCCGCACACAGCCATGGCACCTGCCTTTGCTGCCGTCTCTCCTCCCGCGCGTCCAGCGACAAGGCCTACGCCCTTGATGTCCCCGCCGACAAAACTTGATATTCAGGCATCCGGTGACCGGCCTCACGCTGTCGATAACGCACGCGTGCCTCCGCTTTCGTATCCTCTCTGTCCGTCTGCTATCTGCGGCCGAAATTCGATATTCGGACAGCCCGCGAGAGACATCCGGGCGTGTGTGTCCACACAAAGTCTGTCATCGCGGCTCCGCAGAGGACATTCGATGCAATCTCGATTTCTATGAGCGGAGAAGACACAATAAAATCACGAAATTACCGGTCATGTCTCAGCTCCACTGCAGGTCAGAACCCCGCCTGCGAAAAAGTCTCTTGATGTACCGTCCTAGTCTATCCAGTCTGCGTTGGTGCGCAAAGAAACCCAGTGAAAGCTGGAAATCAGGAATGGCGGCGATACTTGTGACTTGCACAGCGCCCCCACCTCATCTTTTTCATCTCTTCTACGGTTTTGGCTGTCGCTACGGAACTTTTGAAACTATGTGGTTCTCGAGGTGCGTGCTCATGTGGCTGGACCCACAAGTCCCATCGCGACCAAATACCACTGTAACAATTAAGCGGGTTGACAAACGTACCCTATCAGTGCTCTCAAATAATCCTGTCCTTTTGTTTTTCCATTCCGCGGAAGGCCTCGGTGGAGACAGTGTTGTCAGTTCCCTGGCCCTTGTTGTCCTTTTTTTTAACCGAATCACATAAAAGTAAGTTGTTGCGCCGAAAGTCGACCTTCAAGCACCCGTTTCACCTGTAGTCCACCACTGCGTACAACATTCTGCGACGTAATTCTGCTTTTCGGCTGCTGCAAAACCAACCTCAAGCTCTCTGATACCGCGCCGAATTTGAAGACAGATTCTCATAAGTATCCTGTGAGTAACTCTTTTGCATGCAAAGTGAAGCCAGGCGAAGCTGAAGGATACATGAAAAAGGCACACATCTGGTGAATCGAAATTGGATAGGATTTGAGATGTGTGCCATCTTTCGAGGCCTACGTCGCGTCGTAGACTTGGCACCGTGGTGTGTCCAAAAGTGTCTGGAGCTTGTTTACTTGCTTCAAATCGATAGAGATTATGAATATACGGTGATTCGTTCAGCGGCTTTCTATCCCTCGTAATACTGACACTGCCCGATAGTCACTCTCGACGATGATACCCCACGCCCCGACATTTCCTCCGGAGCTATGTGACATGGTGATTGATTACTTGTATGATAACGAATCCGCCCTCGAAGCATGCTCTCTCGTCTGCCGTGCATGGCTCCAATCAACCCGCTATCATTTATTCCACACAGTTCGCACGAGAGAAAGCATCGAGGGTCGCGGAGCCTCTAACTTGTCGCGCATATTAAGCAAGCGTCACGCGAAGGGTATTCTGCCAAATATCCATGAATTGCGCATTTTGGCGTCGGATAGCGCGGCCAGAACGGAGCTCAGGCCCCCCATTTATTCCCCCAAGGTCTCCACGCAGGACGTGGTTCGACTCATCTCGCAATTGCCTCGCCTCCAGACAGTGGAGATTTGTGGAGTGGTATTGGATGGCAGATACTGCAATCGGGGGAAATCAGTAACTCCTATCAGCTTGGACACACTGCGCTTAGACAGAATTTGCTGCAGGAACAATCTGGTGGACGACCTTCTCAGCATACTACGCCCTTTTTCTGACATCCAACATCTGGAAGTGAAGACCATAAAGTCCTCATACTGGTACTTGGAGGAGAGCGAAACGCGTGTAGAAGAAACGCTCAACAAGGTCTCTCAGGTCCTCCCACCCCATCTGCGAGTCCAGACGTTGGTTGTGCGGAACTGCACTTTGGGCTGCTTGCTCTTATGCGATATCATGCGCAAGACACCTTCCGTCCAGACGCTACAAAGGCTGGATCTGCGCATTGAGTGCTTGGGAGACATCACCGCACTCGGAGCATTGATCAAAGCGACCGGCGCGAATTTCCGCACTTTGTGTCTTGACATATCCTCCCTTAATTGGTCAGGTGAGTTCATTGGAGATTGGGTTTAGCTCTGTTTTTGTCAGGAATGCCGACTATTCTTTTTGCAGCTGATGTGTTTGATTGGAAGAAACTGAATCTCACAGATTGCCCATCTCTCGAAGCCATTCACGGGATGTACGTTGGACCGAAATTTTTTCACAATACATCAACTTCATACCTCAATTTACTCTGCACCGTGAACCCCAGCTCGCTTTCGCTGCTCACCTTCCGCTTCCGTGTCAATAACAGCCTCTCTGATCTGAAGGCGGTGGATTGGAAACGAATGGAGATGGTGCTAAGCAGGTTCCGAAAGCTGGAGATGGTCGGCTTGTGCGTTCAGGACAATCGGATCCCGCCTCAGAACGAGATGGTGGAATGTTGGCAACTGCTGAAACGACTGCTCCCCGGGCGGGGGCAGAGGGGAGTACTGAACTTCCAGTACAGTTCTCCTGTCGTTGCGACAGATCATTGGGTCCCTTTGTAGGTGGTCACTGACATCTCAAGCCCAGTGATTCTCAGTCTTTCTAGTACGCACAACACCTTATCTTATGTTCTAGTGGTACGATGTGTTCCTCTTTTCCCTCGATTCTCTTTGAGTAGAAATCTGTCCCTGATTATGCTGATATATGTGTACCGTGACATGCTATACTAGCATATTATCGAACCCAGCTGAATTGGGCTTAACTTGCAGCCGCCTGAGCGGCCTGAGCTGGCTTCTCGTGCAAACTGTTCTTCCAGTGCGGCGTCGATGTCCCGTGCGATGCCACCTCTGGCTGCCTGTGCTGGGGCGTGCGCTTGTGACTGCAGTTGGTGTCAGTTTACCCGCAGCCGCCTCTGAGGCCTCGCTGCAAGTGTAGAACGCTGAATGAGAAACGGGGATAGCTGGGAAAGCTGTCTGGACACTGGACACGAACCATTAGAGTTCCCTGCGCTTCGTCTCACTCGTCAAATATTAGTACGGTCGACTTCAAAGTCGCGCCAGCTAAGAATAAACCCTGAGGTATTGCAAGAGTAACGAGTTAGCACTCGGTCCTGAGTATGCAAACTGGCTTTCCGTGAGCGGCTGACCTCTGCCCTGTTGTACGGCGTAACGTTAGACACTGCAGGCTCCTTCAACACATTGTCTACGAGCTCACGGAGAGATTGAACTCATATTGACCTGCATCACTTGTTGCATTACGACGCTAACGGCGTGGACGCGATTACATACCATCGGCTCCGCTACCATAGACCAAGATCTCTTTCTATAAGAGGTAAATTGTGCGCCGGAAGAGGTGTCTGATGCAAAGGTTAGCTGGCAGAGGGCGTGCAAATGGAATATACGACCTTCGAGAACGGATACGGCGACTCTCGAGCACGCAGTCAACGTTTGTGACCTCTACTGCCGGCCACATTCATCAGCTCGCTTCTGCATTGTGTTAGCCTGGTGAGCAACTGGGGGCACACTAAGAGGTCCTATGGTTGGGACTACAAGCTGACCCGGGGGATGAGGAAGGACAGGTCGCCGCTTGTGAGTAGAAAAAGCCCAGAAGACAGCAATTGCCAGCGAGAGATACAGGATGAGAGAACTCATAATGAAACGATTGAGAGATAGCCCCTGTTTCGTATATGAGGAAACCAATATACGACTGCATGGAAGACGCTTTAAGGTTCAAACTTTCGTGCGTTCCTGTGAAGATCGGCCCGATATTTAGCTGTGAGTATTGCGGGTTGGTGAGAATGGATAGACGGCGGTGCAACAGAGATAGCAGGGACCAGTACCAAGTTTGGTGGTTTGCGCTTGTGTTGGAATAAGGATTCATTGTTTTCCATGGTAAAGAGACATGCCAAAGCTGCCAGCAGTACTGTCCTTGTTTCAACCGCGAAGAATATAGGTTTAATTGTCGTTTCTCCCAGTAACTGACCAAGGAGACTGTGTCTGTCCTGACGCCCGCCGCTGATAGATACCCGCGTTTCGTGTGAACTCGGTGCGAACAAAAGATGAGGATGAGCGCTCACTGCACCAGCGTGACACTCCGCGTCTTGTCACATTGCATGTGACCAGTCACAGCGGTGGCTCGCAAACACACACTACCATAAAGTATTACCTGGACTAACATGAACTTTCTCAACTTAAACCTCGATATCCTCTCCATGAGTTCATGCTTGCTTCTGACAGAAGATTCCCTTGAATTTTTCCTCAGAAAACCCATTCGATGGCGAAGCAGCACGCACTCTCATGGGCCAGGCTGACGTCTCCAAAGCAACTTCGCAAGTTCTGCGAACATATGCTTGGCGACACTTTTGCAACGTTCCAGGCTTGACGTGACCATTTTTGCATACGGTATAAACCATGTATACATGGTGGACCTCCCGCGGGCGGCAAAATTTTCTGGTGTTCTTGTACAGCTCGAACGTGCATCTCGTCTTCGATATCTCTCCATCCACTGCATCGAAGAACTTATACTATACGAATTCTTCATTGGAGATCCCATCGCTGCGCCTCCCAACCTGGAGGTGCTGGTGCTGCATCAGGCAGATATCCCTCATCATCTCGAATCTTTCCGTTCATATTATCTCTTCAGAACCAGCAGGTTCTGCGATTTACCTACGCCCATCTACTTTATAAGGAGGGGACACCCAGGGATGAGCAATGACAGTGGCTAAGCGTCCGTGGTTTACAGGTCAAACATAGCGATTCATCGGTGGCTGGTTTCGCTCGCGCCTTCCCTAATGGAAGAGCTTGAATTATTTCCACACTGGGGCTAGTTATGTTTAGGATGGTATCTGGATAATAACCTGTCCTGTTCACTCTTTGGAACTTGAATTTGGTAATTGCTACGAAGTCGACTCCGAAGAACAGATTTATATGGTTAACATCGTTCGAGAGACAATACCCTGTGTGTTGTCGATGACAGTCGGGTCGTCTTTAGACTGGGAGTTTTGGAATCCCTTAGTGGCAGCTAGCACCGTAAGACTGGGACATCTCGACCTTGGCTGGACGCCAACTCGTGGAAGGCATCTCGGACAATGGCTGGTGAGACTCCATCACTGCGGTGTACATCCACATGTTTTGACACCAGCGCTGATCCAGGAAAACATACCTCTCCCCGTGCTGCATCGCTATTGCCCGCAGGATCGGCGATGTGCCTTGCATGGGGGAGGATTCATCTTGGTGGCGGGCCTGCGGGAGGACATCATATCCAGCCAGTCCCAACGCACATGGATGTGCGCGTCCACACGTTCCTGCAGCTGGATAAGCTCGATGGCGCGCACGTTCACTCTATGCTCATACAAAGAAGGACGCATTGACATTTGCCGGATTTTTTTGGTAGTAACTCTATTCTCGCCGTCCGGGAATACACTCATCGACGATGGCTGAAGTGCATGTAGGAAAGGCAGAGACGTATCATGTCAGCTCTTGTTCCTCTATTCTTCCAGAGACCACAGTTACCTGCCTATACTTCTGTATAGGTTAAACGGGCGGTGCAACGGCGAGAGTGGGAGAAGGCAGCGGACATTAACCTCGACACTGATGTAAAAGCGATAATAAATCAGCACGGGCACTTGTAGATTCATACATTGTGGATACGCATATCCTGGTGATGTCGAAGAGCTCAGAAATAGTTCTTCAAAATAAAACCCCTTGGGAGACGCCATGGACGACAGACCTCGCAGATTCAAGGTGGAGATCAAGCTTGGTCGCAGAGACGGCCTCGTAAGAGCGAGTGGGCACCGAAGAGTCATGGTGGTGTTGGCAGAGCCGCGGGAGATATCCGGTCCCATGGTGATTACGTGCACGGACAGAGACACCACAGTCTGCAATTAGACACACGTAACCAAAGCGCAGATATATGTAAGATCGACTAGTGTAACATCGTGTAAATATCAGCACCACTGAACAGCAAAGCGAAGCCCATACCACTGCACCCATTAGATGCCCCAACTGCAGCTACATGATCATTCGACCAGATCAACAGACTCATCTGGATTAGGCCTAACTTGCAGCCTCCTGCGCAGCATCCGCCTTCTCGTTCAACCCGATGTTCTCCCTCTCCTTCGGAGTCGATGCTCCCTGTGCGGCTGCCTCTGCATGCCGTTTGGCCCTTGCGGCGGCGCGCGCCTGTGCCTGCAGCTGTTGGTGTTTCGATTTACCCGCAGCTGCCTCTGCAACCATACTGCAAACGTAGAAGCATTGGATGAGAAACTGGGGATCACGCAAAGTTGTTGCGCACGAACCGTTCGAGTTCCCTGCGGTCCTCATCGGACTCGTCCGGTACTGTTGACTTGAAGATAGCTCCTGCTAGGAGTAACCCCTGTGATATCGCAAGATTAGGAACGTCATACGGCCGTAGCATGAGAAACGGACCTTTGCTCTATTGTACAGCACAACGTCAGACGCTTTAGGGTCTTTCAACACATTGTCTACAACCTGCACGAATGTATTACTAAGGTTATACAGCAGAGGAACACAATTACATCCTGACTGACCTCTCGTAGCACCTGAGTGACCTCAAAGCGCGTGCCCCGCCACGACGCTAGCATGATCTGTATTTTTATCAAGCCGAAAAAGTGAATTCACATGAATTAGGATCTTGGGTAATAAGGAGATATACCTTCCCTGTGACATCCTCCTCGAGCGCACGGAGCTCCTCCTCGCGCAATTCGCCTCTCGCTTGAAGTTTCTCCATCTCCTGCAGAAAAAAGCTGCAGCATTAATTTTCCATACTTTCACGAGCTTAAAATCATATTGACCTGCATCACCTGCTGAACACCGATGCTAACGAAATCGGTTACATGAGCAATCATGAAACCACAAACGGAAACTCACGCGCTGCCAATGACACCCCAGGCATCTTTAGCAACCGCACCCTTCTCCTTGAGCCGAGAGAAAAATCCTGGACTGCAAGCGGACCGGTCAACAGGAGCGGCGACGACCAGGACCGACACTCACATTCCAAGAAATTTCCGAGACTTGAGGAACGAGGTTGCTTTCATTATATACACGTTGCCGATTGTATGCAGAAGCTGGCCAAGATATTTGAGTGGATTAGAACCAGTTATAACACCGCTCTGAACGTTACCTCAACCCCAAAGCTCTCAAGCTTCATATCTTCGGCTTCTCTCCGCATCTTGTCCTCAAAGGCTTGCGTCTCAGGATCGTCCTTGTCACCGGGTCGTTTGGCATCCACGAACGGACGCAGCCGCTCGATCAGTTTCGTGCTCAACGTGGACACTCGCTCCTGCATATTTTTCCTGCGCTCGTCGTCAATCTCCTGCAGCTTCTTCTTCTGCTCTGGCGTGAGCTTCGACCTCTTCTTGTTGTGTGTGTCCCTGTCGCGCTGGTCTTTCAGGTTCAGCTGGGACGATGTAGGGCTCTTCGACGCTTCGGGCTCCGTGGTGGAGCCGGGAGCGGGCGACACGGTCGCACTATGCCCATTCGTCGGCATTGCGCCGCCTTGCGGTTGTGGGACAGCGGGGGTGGCAGCACCGGAGGAGGCAGGCGTCGCTTGAACGGATGCTGGGTTGCCGGCAGCCTCGTTCATATCCTTCTCCATCTCTGCCTTCTCCTCTTCCGTCATCATCGTCGTCGCGACGGACGTCATCTCCTTCATGAGCGAGATCTCGCCGATCTGGAACGGGGATCGGTGCTCGTGGCGCAGCGCGGATGCAGGGAGTGCTCACGTAGTCGTTGAAACGCTCTCCACCGAATACGTTCGCGAAGAAGCCTGCCGCGTCCTCCATGCCTACCCCGCCCTCCTTGTCGAGCTATCCACCCAGCTTGTCAGAGACGCGTAAGGGGAATGTACAGGGGACACGCACCATCTTCGCGCCGTTCTTGTCGTAGACGGTACGCAAGTTCTGGGAAAAGAGCGCACGTTAGAGGATCATTCGCGAGAGGCGAATCCTGCCTACTTACGGGATCAGAGAGCACCTGATATGCCTTGCTAGGGGTATGTGAGCAATGGAGCGCCCCATCAACGAAAACGCGGACCTGATATCCTTGAACTTCTCCTCAGCATCTGGTGATCGGTTTTTGTCCGGGTGATACTGCAGTCATTGTGTGGTTCAGGCGGTGCTCTGCATCAGTGATACTGCACACACATCGCGAGATGCATGGTCAAGCACGCACCTTGATGGCCTGCTTTCGGTAAGCCTTCTTTAGATCGGTATCATTGACATCCGTCGGCACACAGAGCTGCATAGAGGCCGCCGCACAGGAGGTGCAATCGAGTGTTACATACGTAAAGAAATGAACGTGAGTCGCTCCTGCCTCGAAACTATGCTGCGCACCAGGTCATAGTACTCCGTTTCGACGGGTGCCATGAATAGAGAATGTTTAGGATAACTTCTGTTCAATACAGGCTGTGTGCTGGGACAGTGTACACGATGCAGATAACAATACCAGAGGTGGTTTTGAGGAAAGTGTTCAGGTCCAGCGAAATATCAGCAGCTCCATGTATTCGATGTCACACCACCCCTGGGCGCTAGTTTAATTATAGGGAAAAACATAAAATCCGGAAATTGGCTTCTCCATACTATCATTGACCCTGAAGTGCAAAGTGGCCTGGTAGTGCAAGATGCCGTCTCCCGGGAATTCTACTCCACCAAAATTCACGAAAAAAATACGGAGTAGCTACAATTGTCCCTAGAATTTTAGACATACAATTTGAGTGCAAACCGCCTTGAAGAATAGTATGTGCTCTGCGACTTGCAAGACAGACGTGCTTTAGACGTGACAACGAAGCGCTGGAGTTTGAGCTCCGACCAGAGGACAGACAAGGCAACGGTATATCGGCACTTGTGACGATCTGTGACCGATTGGGCGCTCTTCCTTGCAAATGACTCTCTTCGTCGCGCTTACTCTCAAGATGACACAACATCAAGAAAAAAAAATACAAGAGGTACTGAAGACATACTTTATATGTTAGACATTATGTAGGAAAAATCCCGGGGTCAAACGGGCTCGGTCTGAATACATGGTGACAGAAGTGCAAGACACCTTGCACTACCGGGTCAATGATAGTATATGTTTGTTGCATCCCCAAAAGTAGCGAAAGACTAAATTAAATGGAGTCACGGTCACATCTGGTATTACGCGAACATGGTTACACAACGCAACTCACTGCGCGTCCTCTGCCGGTGCAGTGTGGCACAGGACGCATAGCCCCTTTTTTCCACTGGAAATAACGGGGAAAAACTTGTGGAAATCAAAAAAGTGTTTCCACGGGAAATGCGGTGGGAAATGTCGGGGAAAAGAACAAAACATTTACCGCTTTGTTCCCGTGGAAAAATGATGAGGTAAAAAGGGGCGTGGAAATACTTAGTGCATTTTTCTCGTTTTTGTCGTGGGAAAAAAGGGGGAAAATCTTTGTGTATTTCTCCCTTTTGTTTCTGGGAAATAAGCGAAGAAAAGTTTTAAAATCTTCCAATGAAAATAACTCTCAGGGAAAAACATGTAGGAAATTATTTAAGGATTTCCCTGGAAAAAACAGTTGTCCTGTCATGTCCTGTCATGTCCTGTCATGTCCGGTTGTCATGTCACGTCCTGTCCTTCTGTCCCGTCACGTCCTGTCCTTCTGTCCCGTCACGTCCTGTCCCTTTGTCCTGCCCGCGTCATGTCTGCCGTGTCCCGTCACGTCCTGTCCTCCTATCGTCTGTCTTGTCATGTCATGTGTACCCTACCCATAAAATATATTGCCTAAATAGAATCTATTTAGAATCTGCAATAACCTTCTAACCCTGGCATAATGAATTTTCTTTTTTCAAAATACATTATACCTATATTTCACACAATAGCTATTTTGCAAAATGCCTCTGCTGTGGATGGAGGGAAGACCGCGTCGCCCGTAATGGCTAATAACAACCGTGTCGTTCTAGTTCTAGCCTGAAACTACTCGCGTTCATGGGAAATCGAGACTGTGGATAAATGATTGGGCGGCGTCGAGTGAGAGTGGATCTGCACCCCGGGATGCAGCGCAAGCATCGCTCGTGATCATTCAATAGCAAATGCCATCGAAATATCACAGCACGCCCTGGGATACTCAAGGTAGAGTGCCTGCCCGGGCTAGCCCAGCTCGGCACGCCGCCGCTTACCGCCCGCGCTCACCTCGCACCCAAGGAAGGGCACAAGCCTCGAGTCTGTGGTCGACAGCCTAAAACAAGTCTCTTCCAAGGAGCAGCTCTTCTCATGCGATAAGACATGGAAGTTCACGCTGGCCACCAACACGAAGGGTATGAGCACATGGAGGATGAGGGCTTAGGTAGAAAATTGAAGTTTGGCACCTTTGATGAGGCCAGGGGTGTCGTCATTGATTGATTCAGAGACAGGACGAAGAGGACATGTTGAGGTGATCCTCGGTGTCGTGTCGTAACGCGTGTATCATAGCGCATGTTGAATAAGTCATAAAGATAGGGGAAAGGCATAGGAAAGAAAAGAGAAAAGTGGGGGGCGTCAGCTTCTTCTACCAGGGGCGCAACCCGATTCTGTTCCCCTGGTGCACGCGTGTCGTTAGGTGTTGGAGTGTGTAGAGGGGGAACGATACTTCGCCGTGTAGCTAGTACCGTGAGGGAGCTTCGTAGTGGCTCGCCTATGTGTCGTCGCCCTCATCGTTGTCGGCAGGGTCGTCTTCGCGGTGTCGCCGGTGTCCCCGCATGTTGTCGGAGTTGTTGTCCTGTATGTGTTCCTCCTCATCCTCCCATCTGGCGAGCTTCGCCTCTGCTCACTTCTTGCCTGTCTTCGTCAAGGCCCTACTCTCCTTTAGGAAGTGTCCGAGCGCATCGATCCCAGCTGGCGTGCCGAGGATGGTAGGGATGTCGATGGTTTTGCTTGCCTCGCGTAGTATATGTCGGGAGCTGTCGTATCTCGGGCAAGCTGGTAGTATATGCTTGCGTGACTGAAATAGTACACCACATGGGCAGTCAACCGGTTCAGACGGTACAAAATGCTAGTAATACTCGCCAAGGAAAGCATGTCCTGTGCGGCATTGCACAAGTCTTCCAAGAAAAAACCCCTCGAGAGTTCAATAAACGGCTTGCGTGCGTGAGTCTGCGGGGGTAAACGGTCCACGCTTGCGAAAGGACCAGTCGGTGCGTTTCCACTTGGCGGTCCATTTTTCGAAGGCCTTTTCGTTTGCGCGGCGAAGGGCGTGAGCGTGTGTGACCTTAGTTGGGCCCCCAGGGATCTCAGTCGCCTGTTTGGTGAGTTTGCCAGTAAGTTCATTACCTATGATGCCCTTGTGGCCGGGGGTCCATGCGATGTCTACTGTGTTCTCTGGGTTAGCATTGAGGAATGCTGTGTCGAAATGGTACAGCATACTCAATGGCTCTATCTCACCCAATGGAAAACTGCCATTCCTCGATCTTGCCAGAGCAGTTTTGGACCGGGGGAAAGCTTCGTTACATGTAGAGAACGTGTGTGAGCCAAACGTATCTCAGTTGCGTGGGAGATGAAGTGAATAACGCAACGGATGGAGAGCAAACACGCTCGCCAAACAGAGCGACGTTCCGAGTACACGTCCCGAGTACAAACTTCCCGGTAGATCGGACAGAGCATGGGTAAGTAAACAAAGAATGATGGGATCGCGACACGTCTCAAGAATGCGGGCAGTCAGTACTGTGATCCATCCAATCAATTTCAATAAGAAAAGAAAAGGATGCAGGCGGACCTGGAAGGTGCACGGGTCGCTCTTACAGTCATCACACTTGACGGTGTCACCCCTGAGTTTGATAAAGTCACCGATCGTGGGAGTGTGAGGGGACATTTGAGCAAGAGGTGTTCGATATCGCGTTTGGGATCAAAGAACTCGAAGTGGACGTCACGAGGCTCTATTGAGGCTGCTGCTTGAAGGACGATTAGGGCGAGTAGCAAGAGGGTATGCACGATTGCTGGCCTCGTCGCTCGATAAGTCGGCGTTGCAAGCTGATCAAAGCTTAAAACACGCTGAATTGGGCTTAAAAGTCAGTCATTGCAAATGGGCGATGCTCATTTTCACAACCCACTAGATTCGAGCGCCCACTGGCCGTACTTCATTTGACGACCTCGGGCAGGATCGGCACCTCGCAGGATCGGCACCTCAGTCGTCTTTGGATATGATTACAACGCTCCGCGAACCCATGCGGGTGCCGTGGTCAGCGATGACGCGCGCCATCGATTGGGCACGTTCTACAGGCGTACCAAGGGTGCTTGGATGTTCCAAGGCGGACATTTTGATTCTTCCTGGGGCGACAGGAGCTGTGGGGTGGGAGTCAGATTGCCATTCCAGAATTCGAGATCTGCAACGGAACAAAGCTCGCGCTCGATGATAGAAAATAGATACCCACATACTGAGCGCCTCTGCAATCCCAAAAACCAGCCCGCTCACGACATGCGACAATGCAGTGGAATTCGTTCATATTCCCGCTCGACACTGGCGAAGGCGCAGAGCGTCGCCGGGGATGATGACGCGCAAGGCAAACCCAGCGCTTCTGCAACAATTAATATTTCGGGCGACTCGCCAGAAGAGTACCGATAGAGCATAAGAAAATCTACAGCCGCCTTCTCGGCTGTGACAATTTATAAACATGGGCAGAGCGACCGCGCACCTATGGAAGAGTGTATGGTTTTTTCTGGCATTTCTCAGCCAACCTGTGCCTTTAGCGATGGTATCAAATCCGAGACCCGAGCTCGCGTAACGCGGAGCAAAAGCACCTAAACGAGAACGGCGCCATTGGCGAAGCAGTGAAAGCAAACAGAAGACGAGGAGGAGGTACGCGCGCGGTCGCCCAGCCAAACATCGCAAGTGCCAAGAATGCACTCCCTGGAACGGCAACTGCCGGCCGCGATTCGCGTGGAGTGAGTGATCGGATCTGGTAATCTAGATACAGTAGGGTTAATCTACAAAGGTACAAGTAATCCGTCGGTGAAAGGATTATAATTATGAAGATCTACGCAGTCTATTTGTTCTCAATCGCGCGCGCGCATGATTATCTTCATTTCACGAAGTTTTCTACAAATGCACCCCTCTGCTTCACTTCTTTCTTACGAACGTTTCGACCCTCCAATGGTAAAGCTGGGACAGGTCTCCCCTCAATCTAAAAACGCGTTAGCTAGCACCGGCGAGCTCTGGAGAAAACTCACATTCGCAGATGATCCGGGCGTAGTTGCGAAGAGTGCGGCTGCACTATGTCAGAAACCCGAAGCCCTTCTGGACACTGAGAAACATTACCTTGTGCCAGGTAAAAGCGCGCCCGGGAATCGTGCTAGGCGGACTGAATTTATGAACGGAGCCCTTTGTGGCTTTTACCTTAAAGCTCATACTCTGAAAGGCCTGCGCGATCATTAGGCT